CATCAGTGGATCAGTCACTGTCCCAGTCTCTCACTTTTGGCTTGTGAGAAAGGTTTGAGGCCATTCAACCGAGGTTCTTGCAGGTCATGTACTGCATCACAGGCACATTTGTCCTGCAAGAAGGAGCAGTGGCAGAACCACATCATCAGTCACTTGCTCCACGTCTTCCACTAAGATGGGCAGGGGAGAGCAGTGGGTGGGAGCTGTCATCACCAAATGTGTGAAGGCATCTGCAATACCACCAGCAGCAAGGAGGACCCTAGAACGTCTCCTGTGACACAGATACCACCCTGGAAATGCTAGTGCTGACCAGGTGTACCAAAAATTACAGTGTGGATATGGGTATTCCTGGGTCCAGAGCATATACCTGTGTCCACCACAGTATATCTGGACATTCAGCACAGATATAGGGTACATGGGTGAGCATACCCACACTCCAGTACCCATGTCCAGAGGCCAGTGTAGATGTAACTTTAGGGCCTTCCACAGGAAGCCATCAGGAATGTTTACAAGGATTATTGAATTCAGCCTCCCAGCTCCCTTTTTCAATATTATCTCCACTTTAGAGATGGGGGGATAGCAAGACACAGAGGCTCAGGTCCTCAAAGATATTTAGGCTCCTCACTTTCATGGAAATCAATAAGGGACTGGGCCAGAGAGATGAAGCCATTTGGCCAAGATCACATGGCAAGCCAGTGGCAGAGGTAGAAATAGAATCCAGACCTCCTGTGCTTTAATCACTAGGCCATTATAATGTTCAGTAAGGAACCATTTAGTTCCCCTACCACGGCCTATTACCCCACCCTTGCAGCCTTTATTGGTCAGGGCAGACCATGTTTTATTTGTCTTGCTTTCTCAAGCTGTCAGTCTCGTGAAGCCCACCACATGGCTTTATAAAGACGGAGAAGCAGCTAAGCTGGGAAGCATACAGAGTATTTAAATGGTTTGTAGATATTTATCCCCGTTCAACAGTTGGCAAACATGCCAGTAAGGAGCCTTTAGACCCATTAATTTTCTGTAGTCATAGTATTATCAGCAGCTCTGGCTGAACAAAGAATATATTTCGATTGTTACAGGTAGGTTGTGATGGAGTGAAGCTGAGCCTGCTTGTGTAACTCACACACCTTCTGGGTGTGGTGTTCTGTCCCATCTAGTGGCACCGAGACCAGAGAGACAGAGACAGAGTTAATGAGTCTGCTCTACAGTGTTACCTAAAACGCATATGGCTTTTAGGTCATGCAGTAGAGGCTCATGCACTAAGTTCCAGAGGTCCCAGGTTTGAGCCCGCCCACTGATGACTGGGGTCTGTTGGTATTACACTTGCTCCCTTTTTTTTTTCTCCTGTGCTGGTTCCTGATCTTAATAATACAGACTATAAACTAGCATGAGGGAGCATGGCAGACTGGAATACATAGCGAGGAGAATGAGAAACTCTAGTTACTCATGTGAGATTTTCCAGTGACCCTCTTTTGGTTCTCCTCCAGTGCAGCCAATAAAATCTGGGCATGAAGTGAACGAGGATACCAAAAAAAAAGAAAAGAAAGGGGAAAAGCTGCCTCATTTCCCAAGTGCAGTCCCTCTTGTGCATCAAATGAGGCAGGAGTCCTGTTGAAAAAAAGTGCAATATGACCATGTAACTAGAGCCTGTATCGCAATTATGACTGAGCAAATAATTATTTTTTTTTTCAGTTCAGTAGCTAAACCGAAAAACCTGGAAGAAAATTCACTTTGTTTCAAACCAAAACAAAAAACAGAAAAAATATTGTTTGGGTCAAAATGAAATGGCAAAATAGTTCATTCTGACATTTTTTGAAACAAACTGTTTCAACATTTTGAGGGGTGGGGTGGGAAATCAAGGGTTTTTTTTTTCCAGATGAAACAATTCACACAACTAATTCAAATTCATTAGTTTTGGTGTCCTGAAAAATAAATTTTTGATGAATTTACTATTTGCCAGAAATCTTTTTCCCCAAGATGGATAGATATGCATAAAACAACCTTTCGTCTAGCATCTTCAAACTTGAGAGCTTGACTTTTCAACTGTAACACTATTCTCTCACTGTAGGTTTCATACAGAATAGCAAATAAACTAAGGAAATTACTTCCTGCAGTAAGTATAGGGAAGTAGCATATATCATATTCTAGGGTGGTAACTAGATAACCATCAGCTTTTTAGTGATGACAACAGTAGTATTTCTGTTATGAAGATCAACCATGCCTTCAAGGACATTTGCTTTGCATTTAAATAAGTTTTGTTTCACAGAAATTTCCCTATGCTCTCAGCTATCTCAGGGAAGAGACTAATTATATATAGCTGCTCCTTTGTTGAGCCATTATTCATATTGATAGCTGCATCCTATCTTGCAACTATTTTCCCTGAGCAAGCTTCTGGAGTAGTAGGTCTTATCAACTTCCTAGAGGTTTTTGTTTGACTTTCACATCATCCTTCTCAGTGATGACCTATTCTTTGCCCCTCATTTTCTCTTGCTCTTACTACATATAGTTTGATATGGAAAAGACCGTTTCGGTCTTCTAGTCCATCTCTGTAAGCCTGCACAAACTCCATCTCCACAATGTAGCTTCTGGTTTCATTTACTCCAGGTTTGAATACTTCATTCAGTCGCTAGACCATTGTTTTTTTCAGAGCTTAACTAAAAGTGCGTCCCTCTGATTAGACTAAACTCCTCAGGGGAGGGATGGGCCAGGTCCATGTCTAGCAGGATCATTGCAGTTTTTAGCTCTTAGTTGCTACTAGGTTCATTCCAGTTGCTCTGTTTTCCTTGTGAGAGTTTTCAATGGCCGTCCCCATATTAAGCTTTTTCATTTTCTTCCTTTTACAGTGGATGCATCACTTACTGCTATCCTGAAGTATTGCTCCATCCTTGCGTATGACTTTGAGAGAACTCTAGCTACTCATCCTCTAGCTAAACTTCAACAAACAAAGTAGTGCATTAATGGACTTAAGATTGTAAAGTCAAACCTTCAAGTTAGGAAATGTCCAATTCAAGGATGCCTGGCCTCTCCTGAAATGCCAATGGTGAACTTCTGCTGTTGTATTCAGAGGTAGTTACTTAGCCACTCACAAAGAGATTTTTAACATTTGTAATGGTTAGGTTACTTCTCCAAGATATACTGAGCTAGCTTCTCTTCCCCCACAAACTGGTTAAACCTTGCCATGTGCCACAATGGTGATGACCCCACCCAGTTTGGTCCCACGTGATATTTTAGTTCTTTGCCATGAGAGGACACATGAATTCCAACAGATGGAGTTGCTTAGGTAGCAGGCAAGAAGCTGTGAATTTACAAGAAAGCTTCACTCATTCATCTTTTATGGGTTCCTCAGTTAGGAAAGATGTTACCTGCTGCTGCTGATTTCTCTGCTTACTGGAGTGTGAAACTACGGGTGAGAGGGAGTTCTCTGGGGTAAGTGATGTAGTTCAGGCTGCCCCTATTCTCTCCCCTGGGGGCTTAAAGTATTAAATCTACTTCAGAACGACATTTGCTCTTGCCGTATGGGAAACAAGCACCTTGGGGAGAGCAAACAGTCTTCTTTTAGCTCAGTTGACTTGAAGAGGTGAAAGGGGGACCCAGCCTAGAAAACACAGCTGTGGAGTGGTAGCAGCAGGGTCAAGCTCAACCACTGCCCTAGTAGATACTGCTCTAGCCCTCCTGTGTTATCAATGTGCAGAAGTGACACCTATGCTTGTCAGCCTTAGGGTTGACAATTACCAGTCAGTGCTGACTAGGACCCTCCGCCATATGTTCAATAAGCAGATGGTTCAGGAGACCCACAGAGTGGTGTTGATGCAGACAAAGCACTTCCCTGGAGAGGAAAGCTTGTGTAGTTTTGTTTCTCCCCCCACCTATGAGAACATGTAAGCATACAAGTCGCGCTTCTTCCTACCTCCTAAAATGTGTGCATGTAGCAGCAGAGGAGCCAGGAGTTGTTAGCACCCACCCTTAAGCACAGTTAGTTCATCCTGATTCAGGAAGCACAAAAGTCATTCCCCTCCTCCTGCCAGCTGCATAGTGAGTGTTAGAGGTAGGCTGCAATGTCTCACACTTTAGACTTCCCCCACACTGTTCACCCAGCCTCAGCAGCAAGCAAGGTCAGTCTAACAAAGGAGCAGGGCTCCTGCTCCCAGCTTAACAGAGGGTTAGGGGAATAGTTAGTGAGACATGGAGAACACTCAAGAAGCACAGCACAGATGTTGAGACTTGAAAATAAAATAGTTTTCAGTAGAGCTCTTAGTCACATCTTTTCAGGCAGCTTTTACATTTTGGACAGCCACCCAGCACCAGCTTTGCTTCTTTGTTGGAGTTAAATGCAGAGAAGTGTTGCAATACACCCAGTTTATTGCTTAGAGTATAGAGGAGACTAGATATCAGCATCTCAGGCTCTAGCCTGAAAGACTACTGCACTGGAAAGAAATCCTCTGGAAGTTTTTGCTCTAGACCCCTGCATAACAGCCATCTGTCAGGCCATAAAAATAGAACTATTAATTCAATGTTTACACCCTCCACATCCAGGAAATTTGTACTAGGCTATGAAATAGATCTAGAAAATGCTTGAAGCACCACTGATTGGGTTAGGTCTCCTAGTACTCTATTCCTTCCCACCCAGCTTTGATTAAGTGAATAGCAATACAATACACAATTGATATGTACCATTTGCATGGAGAACCACCTTAAAAGGTCTCAAGACTAAACACTAAGGGACATTCCAGCTTAAGGGGTATTATCTAACCCATGGCATTGGGTAAGTGTGGGTGAGGGAAATGTAGTTCAGAGCCCACACAGCTCATCAATACCACTTCAGTTGATTTCCTGCAAGATTATGCTGCACTAGGATTCTATAGTAGGCTTGGATAGGTGGACTTTCAGCCTCCTCTTGGAGGAGAACTGCAATTCTATGTGACAGCAGGTTATTCTTCCCCCATCAGCTGCCTTATGACTAGAAAAGTAATGCTTGTGTTTGACAAGAATGCTAGCAGGGTTCTCTAATCTATCTCCGCCCTACAATCTTCCTGGTACTGCAATTCTGAAGAGGTTCTGCCACAGAGGGTAAAGGGTCCCACTAGCCAGGACAGGTGAGCCTTATGCACCACATATTCAAATAGTTCATCCACATACTCCTGGGCCTTGAGCAGCTTCTGCTTGCTGCAGGTCAGGATACTGGTGGACAGGTCCTGGAAGGAGTTGGCCTTGGAGAAGGCACCATGGACCTCTTGCAGATTGTGATGAGCCTGATGCATCTTGTCCTGAACACTGGTAGGAAGGCCTTGGACTAGAATCACTAGGTTCAAGCATATGGTCTGCAGCTGCTGGGTGATTCTCCAAGACATGACCAGAACAAGGGTATCTACCTGCTGGGGTAAAGCAAATCAGTGTGTGTTTGAGAAGATATTAATGGGCAGGATAGAGCACCACTGCCAACATGAGTTAGTATTCAAGTACCTCTGGCTGTGCAGAACCATTGTCAATTACTGCAAGCTCCTTCTTAGTCCACTCCAGCCACAACTGGTGCAGCTTCTGCTGACCCTTGTGTAGTTTCTTACCCACACTCTGCTTGACAGTCTCAGTCTGAAGTGGGGACAAGAACAAGGTGTTTTCAAACTGTACTGTAGGAGGACCAGCCTATGAACAAATGGTACCAGTACAGACAGTCTGCTGGACAGAAGTGTCAGACATGGCTCTTATGGATATCAGAGAGAGGATTGCAGTCATGTAGGTTAAGCCAGAACAGAATGCTTTAGAGGAAAGTTTTGTGGTTTGCCCTTTGGGGCAGGGTTGTCCCAAAAAGCTACTAGCACAGATTAAGGATTGCCTACCAGATCAATGGTGTGCTGGATCTGAGAGAGGTTCTCCTGCATACTCTGATGGAGCAGTCTCACTTTGCTCACAGACTGCAGGTAAGTGCGCTGGCGGAGTTCAGTGGCCAGAGACCCCAGACGCACAAAGTACTTCTGCTGCTGTTCCACAGAAGCCACCTCAAACCCCTTCACAGATGCTGCTAGTTTAGCTAAGGGAGAGAAGAGGATACAATTTAGGCAGCCCTGCCAGTGCAGAGGCTTCAGTCAGCAAGACCATGGCTATTTCAGAGCCCTTATTAACATCTGGGTCAGCAGTCTTTTCCCTTAGGAGTACAATCACCAGGATAGAAACATGGGGGTGAAGATACGTCAGCTCCCTGGAAAGTAGGTGTGCTCCCATCTAAGTGGTATTTGCCACTTGCTTGGGAGCCTCCCCCTGCCTCACTACATTCCATTTCCAGTGTCATGTAGGTTGCCCAGAAGAGAGACTGACTGGAGATTCAGGGAATTAGTTACCTTTATTGATGACCATTATCTACATTTGTTTCCACAGCAGAGTCTGGGAATCACTCCTCTGGATACATGTATTTAAGTAATGTTTTAGCAACCCTTTAGTCAGAGTAATAGGATTGAGACCTAGATTGTTGGCACATGAGAGAAAACTAGTGCAAGGGGAGTCTAAGACTTATGCTTTGGTTTGGGAAGTCCAACAGCTATGGTTTATTAGCATCATCCAAGTATTTCCCCAACCTAGTTCAGCATCTGTGATGGGGAGGGAGTGATCCACCAGGTCTACCGATTTCCCCTGCATGGCTTCTGCTCCACTCACAGTCACAGGCCCCACTCTGGAGCCCATGACTGTGCTCATGCCACTGGTTACTGCTGATTTTGCTGCCTGCATGGTCTTGTCCAGCACCTCAGTCACTCTGCTGTTCATGGCATCCCTGGTACCTGTCACCAGCTCTTTGGCATCCAAAAGAACCTAGAAAATGTCAAAGGTAATCACTTCATGCTACTCAACATCCATGACTATTTCAAGGAGGGAACTAAAGTTACAAGATAGAAGCAGATGTGACCCCTCAAGGGATGCTCGCAAAGAAGACACCAGGTCAATGGAGTAGACACCACTGAACTAGTCAGAAGGCCACAGCAGGGGTCAGAAGAGTACAGCCTCTCTGGAGAGAGGGTCATATAAATCTCCCCATTGTATTTTTCATTGAATGCATCCGATGAAGTGAGCTGTACCTCACAAAAGCTTATGCTCAAATAAATTTGTTAGTCTCTAAGGTGCCACAAGTACTCCTATTCTTTTTACGAATACAGACGAATACAGCTGCTACTTTGAAACCAGTCTACTCTAGTTAGTGGTCTCAGTTTAGCCATCCAAGTTTGGAAGCTTTGGCATAAGGTATAGCTAGCTACAGCAATGAGGAAGTGGTCAGTTCCCACCATACCCAGCCTTGAAACTCAAGGGATTGACAGCATTTAGCTAAATAGAAATATTTAGCAGACCATGGCCCTCAAAGAGCTAGTTACCTTATCAGTTAGCTGTTGAAGGATTGGCAGCTTCTCCTCCAGCTTATCCAGTCCTTTGCAGGCAAATTCATTTGCTGCTGCAACTGTAAAAGTTAACACCATGAATAAAGTTTCCCAAATCTTTGTTTAAAAAATGAACTCTAGTAGCGGAGAGTCCTTCCTGCTCTTTGATTTTCTGGTTCTGCAATATCCTTGCCATAGGCCAAGACACAGGCTCTCTTCTCAAGTGTTAGCCTATAGCTATTGTGGGAAGCGTGTCTGAGTAGAGAATGTCTCTCAGAGACTTTCCCTTTCTCAATTATATTTCATGGACAAGCTTCATTTATAGGGTCATTAACCAACCCCAGGAAAAACCTTAACTTGGCATCCCCTTTCCTGTGAGGGGAGCCTTTTACTATAACCCAGTGCCAATACCACATGTAATTACTCAGTGGAAACATCTCCAGACAAGAGATTCTAAGCATAATGCAAGACCTCTGTTGTGACCTCATTCTTTCCCCAGACACGGCACTTGTTAATGCTGACTATTAGCAAGTGTTACTGAGGTTGTAATTGAGGTTTTCATTGTACCATGAGGGAGATTACCGTGTAGTACATTTCCTTATCTGTCAAAAGCAGAAGGGAATTTACCCAACCTTAATCCCTTAAGACTGTTTGCTCACAGCTTCTTGTTTTAATATAGAAAGTGTAGGGGAGTTCTAAAGGCATGGATGCCTCCCACCTTCCTCTGGTATGTGGGGATATGCAGGGAGCCCAGCTGTTTCATCTCTAGGCTTTAACATCAGTGGTGTCTGAAAACCAAGAGCAGGGGGAAAAGCCTTGCAGATGTTGCATCTGGTCTGTTGGGGCAGCCACAGGTCCTCAGAGTCAGCAATCTTCAAAGGCTAGAGAGCTGCCAGTGCTGGAGCCCAGAGCTTCTCACCCAGTAACCCTAGATTTCACTCCTGGGCTAAGCAGTGGTTCTCACTTCACTTTCCTAATGACAAGACATGGGGTGGCCACCTTCCATGATGGAAGCTGCTGACTGACATCCAGTTGGAGACAGAGCTCGCTGTGACAGATTGGTCTCAAGAATATTATGGGAAATTGGCCTTATTGTATTACGTTTATATGCTATTGTGGGCCAAAATTGGACCTAACCTCTCAAGGGGGAAATGTAAAACCTGGAAGTTTAAGGGGGGCTATACTGAGAGTATGCCAGCCAAGTCCAGACTTTTGGGACAAGTGGATTTCCTGGAGAAGTCTCTAGGTGAAGTTAGTCACAGCTAGGGAATTTGCATTATGCAAAAACCCACCACTTTGGAGTGACACCCGTCTGCCGATCGTACACTTGAGTTTCTGATGTTACCTGTTACAGAATGCCAAATAGCTGCTCCACTCCACCTTTGTTCTGGTTTGGGATGTGAGATGAACTAGTAGCCACAGAGAAACCCACCCATGATGTTTTGAGGACTAAAAACCTATCAGAGCCCTAAGATGGAGCCGAGGGTGACCTCTGGTAAGCTTGTAGCAGGTGTAGATTCTTTTATTGTTTAATGGTTTTTGCCCTAATGCAGTCCTTATTGAGGAAGGGTTCCTACTGCTGCTAGGGTTGCCAGGCAACTGTTTTCAAGGAGAACAGAGTTGAAAAGGGACCCTAGCAGCTCCGGCCAGTGCCACTGACCGGCCAGTTAAAGTCTGGTTGGCAGTGCAGCAGGGCTAAGGCAGGCTCTGCTTAGCTCCTGGAAGTGGCTGGCATGTCCCTGAGGTGCAGGTGCAGCCAGGGAGGCTCCGTGTGCTGCCCCCACCCCAGCACTGGCTCTGCAGCTCCCATTGGCTAGGAACTGCAGCCAATGGGAGCTGCTGGTGCAGGCAACGCATGGAGCCACCTGACCATGCCTCTGCTTAGGGGCTGCAGGAACATGCTAGCCACTTTGGGGAGCCACCTGAATTAAGCACCAGCTGGATCCTGCACCCCAAACCCCCGCCCTAGCCCTGAGCCCCCTCCTGCATGCCAACTACCTCCCAGAGGGTCACCTGCACCCCCTCCTGCATTCCAAACCCCTCAACACCACCCCCTAGCCTGGAGCCCCCCTCCTGCACCCCAAACCCCTCATCTCCTTGCCCCACTCTAGAACACATGCCCCCAGCTGGAGCCCTCACCCCTTCCTGCACCCCAACCCCGTGCCCTGAGCCCCCTCCAGAACACAACCTCCCTCTGACCCTGGAGCCTGCACTCCCTCCTGCATGCCAATCCCAGAGCATCCTCCTGCACCCCACCCCAGAGCCCCCTGCACCCCAAACCCTCATCCCTGGCCCCATTCCAGAGCCCACACCCCCAGCTGGATCCCTCATCCCCTTCTACATCCCAACCCCTTCCCCCCAACCTCGCTCATTTTTGCCAGGCTGAGGCGAGAGCAAGCAGGGGTGGGGCCTCAGGGAAGGGGCAGAGCAGGGGTGTTTGTTCGGTTTTCTGTAATCAGAAAGCTGGCAGCCCTAACTGCTGCTTCAGGAGGCAATAGTTAGTCATACCATTTTACAATGGAATTAATGGAGAGGCTGCACCAGGCTATGCTAGGACTAGCATGTAACAGGGCAGGGTCAAACTGTTGGGGGGGGGAATAGAAAGAGGCGGAATCAGGGTATTGATTGAAGGGGATTGTGAAGCATGTGCATTATGCATAAAGATTATCCCTTTGTCAAAAGATCAGCCTCCCTAAAAGGAGGAACTTGATTAAAGTGCTCTTTTTTAAGAAAAAAAAAAAAGCAAAAAAAACCTGAAAGCCAAAGGTGTGATAAAATGAAGTCTATTGTAACTGGAGGAAAATACTTGCTTTCTAGAAAAGAGCTGACTTAATATGGCAGACCCCATTCCCATCCACATCTGTGTTACTAAGTCCTCCAACCACTAGAGGACACTCCCCTGCAAGGTTAAAATAGAATCCAGGAGTCCAACTCCCAGCATGTCAGTGCTGTCTGGCCAATAGTTGTGTAGCTCCCTGGTAAAGTGTGCCACATCTCCCTCCAGTGGAGTTCCCAGAGCAGAACAATTACTCCACTTCCATACTTGCCAGGAGTGTGGGCTGAAGGTTCAAACCCTGCTGATTTCCCCCTCCATGGGTTCTCTGAAGGATTGTCCATGGTAGAATTCCTTAGCCTTTGGGAATGCTTAAAGTCATCCAGTGAAGTTTCCTTGGGCAGTTTATACTCAGCCCAAGCTCAAGCATAAATGCCGTGCAACTGGAAACAAGTTGATGGTCACAGCGGTAAGAGGTTTGTTTGAGGGGCAAGAGAGCTCTTGCCCCTTTAACCCATTAACCAAGGACTATTTAGTAGAAAAACTCCAGGTTGGATTCACACATTTGGAGATGTGGCAAAAGTGCCATGAGGTTGAAGCCAGCTTTTGCCAGCTAAACCCAATCTTGGCAGTGCCTGTCATTCACGTTTGTTAGCCATTTTGACTATTTTCCTCCTAGTTACTTTAGGTCATGCATGAGGCATTGTCCCTGCCAAATGAAGGCTTTTGCCACCAAACATCTTAAGGGTTACTCGTGTGATCAGATCTCACCCACCCCTATTACAGATACTTGTTGCACAGTGGTTTTGCAGCTACTTTTCAGTAGTGATCTGGGTTGGAGATCAGAGTTACTCAGTGAGATTCTAGTACTCTGAATGAGTCTTTAGCAAGTACAAACCTGCACTTGCTAAGGAGGATCAAGCTTTTGTATAGTGGAGACAGGTCACCCACTGCAGTGAGAGGTTAGTTGTGTACATGGCCCCTTCCAATCACCTGTACCTCAACCACACATTCAAAGAGAACTGTATTTATAGGTACAGACACTACCCCAGTCAAGCCTAATAATGGTAAGTCTCCATTAGAGCTGCATTGTTCAGATGCTGAAAGACAAACTCTGACCCGTCCTGAGTCACTCAGTGCCTGGCAGTGAAAATGGAGCTCAAGATGAAGACAGTAATATGTTCCTCTTCCAGTTTGAAAGGGCTCAGTAGAGCCTTACCTTCAAGTACAATTCATCCATTTAGATTAAATACAAGTGCACTGACGCAAAGCTCTGGTTATCTTACAGCTATGTAAGTCACATTCCTAGGCAATCAATATATTCCAAAAGTGCTCAAGATCAGCTGCTGGAGGAACCAATCAGCCATTGAACCTTCAGTAATCTTGACTTCCCCACCCTACTCAAACAGTTCTGTCACCTTGTTAGCAGTTATGGGATTGAGAGTAGTTTGACGTCCCCTCCCTAGTTTCAGGGTTAAGGTCTCCATTGATACAAGGAGACAGCTGGTTTGTCATGGGGGCACTAGTAGCCCTACTGAGCAGATCGGAGTAAGAAACTCTCAGGCAGAGCCCTAGCCACTTACAGGCTTTAGGCTAGTAACTAACATTCACAGGACACTCCAAGGGTTATGAGGGGACTAGAATCCAAGCTTGATAATAACTATTGTGCAAACATCAACAGCTGTTCCCTCACCACCAATTAGAGTCTCTAGAATTTGAGGCCAAGTTGATGTGGCAAGACAGACTAAAACAATTTACAGCAGTGAACCATTGCCGGAAGCTACCTTCACACTTCAAGTTATATAAGACAGTTTCCTTCTCATCTGAAGGATTTAGTGTTTATTAGATTAGGACTCCTAATGCAAGTGAGATTAGGTATGGTTTTCATGCTATATAAGGAATCTGAGATATACAAGCCAAACAAGAGGCATTTAGGGAGGCAAAAGCTACGCTTCACAAAGCCTTCAGCTAGTAGCCTTTGCCACTGTTTACTTTAACAAAACTCTTACAATAAAGCAATCTGTTTAGAATAAAAAGCAACTTTCATACCACTTCTAAACATCTTTTCCTTGGATTTAAAAAGCAAAAGAAAACCTCTTACCAACAGACTAAAAGTTGTCTCTGTTCAACATCATAGAAACTACCCATCTTCCGCCTCTATGTACAGGCAAGTGATGTCATCATGGGCGGGAATTAAAGGACTGACAGCTTGGGACAGCAATGAGAATGAACCAAATTGTGCCTTGACCAATGAGGGATGGAAAAAGAAGAGCAATTGGGAGAGATACAGACTTCAGTTAAGTTGCAATTGTTCATTCACCTCATG